CTTCTGGAGAATTTTAAAACTCTTTTAGACGAATGTTTTATACTTGAATTTGTTGCCTGTATCTCTTCTAATAAAAAAGATATACCCAAATATAGTAAAAAATATGACTAAATTAACTGGCTCACCCACCCTAGGTCCATAAAATACTTCTTCAAATTAGATTTTCACATGGGACTGGTACGCCAACATCTTTTCGTAGGCAGCATAAAAAAGTGAAAACGAATCAATCAAAGCTAGGCCCAAGCGTAGGTTCGCGGTTATGCTCCCTATTGTTATTAGTAGATAGAAAGATGCCACTTCTCTGGTTTTTCAGCAGTTTTGCATTCAATATGCTTCCAATCAGCTCAAAATGAAAATTAAAATGAAATATTGGTACTGAATAAAAAAAAAGCTGAATTGGTTTAAAAAAAAGCTACACAAGCACTTTAGCCCTAAGTTATTGCTTGGAAAGTATTCATTTTAAATTTGATGTGTTGATAAGAATTTAGGTTTGTGGCTTAGGGTTGGACTATTAATGAAATAGGGTGCTGGTAGGTGTTTTTTGGGCACCCACTGATATAACGACGGTGCGGCTTCTACCAGCCTGTCAGAAGATCTTTTCGGTGATCGTCTCACAACAGTGAGAATCTCACATTAGAGCGCCGAAAAAGCAGCTGGGCACATTATGTAGAGTGAGCACTCACCATCCCATTGATGGTTAAATTTGTTTTGACCATAATTTTGAGTTTTAAGAACGCATCTTCATGCTAAAGTCTAACCGATCGGAATCGAATGAAACCAAAAATTAATCACATACACAAACACACCCACATCCAGAGAGAAATATTATTGTACTGAAAATTTTGACCCGCAATGTACATAATCAGTATGCTGTTGGTAAGACTGAAAGCCATATGCAATCCTCCGGAAATAAATATAATGCATTTGTTTTTCAATTTATTCATGTTTCACACCATATTAACATAAAAATATGAAATATTTATAACAGTTTTTTTTCTTATAGTATGAATTAAATTGATTTTGCGAAAATTACTTTTTTATTTTAACACTACAGATTTGTAACATCAATTTGTTAATTTTCAGAAGGCGCGTATATTTATTCGAAGTAAAATGTTTCGTTTCACCATAAAACTTGAAGCGTTTGAAAAAAACGGAATAGACATCAATTCTTTGAAGTCATTACCCAAGTAACAATTCAGTAACCATTAAGCATCCACTCTGATTTATGATGGTTTTATACCGGCAATGAACAATCCATTTAGTTTAAATATAGCATTTTAAAGTGTAAACCATTCCTGCTTAGAAATTCAGCCTTTTGCTGTTTTAAAAACCTTTTATAGTCTGGCAAGAAAGTCAAAAACTGTCTTGTTTTAAAAATAAATTTAAAACAGTTATCAATCCCTTCTTAAAACTGTTCTGTAATTCAAGCATAAACGTCATTAGCAATTGTTTATTAATGTCATGATAAAATACTTTATAAACGGGTTCTATCATTATAAAAGCAACCATAAAACAATTAGGTTTTGCATTAGAGAAAAAAGCATTTATTGTTGCTTTTTAGCCTTTTTAAAGTGCATCATTAACTCCCCAATTACTTTGTTTACCAATTGAGCTTAAAAGTTGGTTCCTCATAGTTAATAGCTGCCTCAATGTAGGATGAAAAAATCAAGTAAATTTCATATAAATTACTTCTTTAGAAGAACCAGCGCACCACCAACGACTGACCATCTTTCGGAGAAGAGTAAAGTGAGCGGGGCCCTGGAACTCATAAAACATTGTCTAAAGTTGAAAAACATACCAGCCTTCTGCAGATCTTGCGATGACAATCGAAATAACAACCGACAGCAAACCACTGAAACTGTTAGCGGAGATTAGCTGGTTTCCGATCGAAAGCAGCGATTTTATTCGGCGAAAGACTCTTCGAAAATTTCATTCAACCGTACATCCTCTTCATCATTGGATGGTGCACTTCTGTAACTATCCGGAAGAAGGGGATCTTTTTCGGGAATGATTGCGCTTCCAGCTGTTCGAAATGCGAAATGTTGCAACACAAACTATCTGAGGAACTGCTCCCAATCCTTCGGGAGAAAACCGCCTGGAAGAACACTGGATCCCACAGCGCAACTAAATATCGAAAGATAAACAAACTTTGACGTTTATATTTTTGCAGGCAACTTTTCCTCCATAAATGCTGCCATAAATCTGAACGGGTTAAGATCAAGCAAAATGGCTTTAGATAAATACAATTCAGCCTGCAAGTTTTCTTCATAAAAGCCATTTTAAAACCTTTTTAATTTGTTAAGGAATTCTTGAAAGCAAAACAACTTTTTCACAAATGACCCATGAAAATCAACTTTTATGCCACCGCCATGTTACAATTACTTTGCTTGTTTTTTACAATCTTCGATTTTCAATCAATATTTCCTTAGATATAACTATATTTTGGTAAATTTAGCAATGAGCAAAAATTTAAATGCGAAAGTAATAAAAAAAAATCTCGGTCAAGCTCGATCTGAAGAATATTTTTTTTTAATATGTTAAATAATTGGTCAAATCGACGTTTTACGATGGTGGACTTAATTTTTTCTATGTTTTCACGTACATTTCACATAAAATTTGATATGGCACTTAAAACTAAGCCACTTAATGTGAACTATTGTAATAAATTTGGATATTCAACAAGATTTTTATACCATCAGTTTCTATTTTAATTATTTTGATAAGATCGGATTCATAAATCCTTTTCTATCTTGATTGATGATTTCCTAGCGGATTCAGCATGCGGCTAGGGGAAATGGCTCGGAAAGGGTTTTTATTGTTGCTAAATAGCTTTTGTTGTAGCTTTCGAATGGTTCTCAATGCGTTCGTCACACTACTTTTTGCAGTAAATCAATCTTGAAGAGCTTCGAGAATACACCCTTCAGAACCTTCTCCAGGTTGGGCCAACTAGACACATTCTAGTCTTAATGAGGTTTTGGTGGATGCATTAATGACAAAATAGCCTTGACCAGGGTTTTATGAATGTTGTTTTATAGTTGCTTTGTAGTATTTCATAAAACTTAAAATGTTACTTGGGTAATTTCATATGTTTATTCTAATTACTTTTTTCTACGATTGTCATCTACGAAAATATATATAAAATCCAAATAAAAGCATCAGTATTCTTTTTCCGCATAACCACACCTAAATATCCAATACATATACATGGTTAACTAAAATGTCGTTCATATGTATTCGAAAACATCACTGTACTGTTTTAACGATGTTAGTTAAACATTACAGTTAAGTCAGTCAAAACCGCATTTGCAACTTGTGTCATTAAAATATTATGTAACATGAAACTTATTTGCAACACCTATTGCGACAAACATAGGTTGCAAAGAGACTCCACCTTCTACGCTTTTTAAGGTACAATGAAGTTTTATATGCGATGCGTTATCCATAATTTAGACCTTCATTTAGTCACACTAAGCTTGTTGTTACTCACTGAGAAACAAATGGTGTTGCTTGGGAAGTGTTCCAGAGATAATTTCCAATGGAATTTTGGAAAGAACTCTACGAGAGTTTTGACTAGAGCTCCAAGTCAATTGTATGAGTTCAGAGTAATTTTTAAGAAGCTCTTTGAATTAAAATACAAGGGAAATTGAACTTTGAGGGTACAATTCCATAGGAATTCTGTGAAGATTTGTAAGGGAATTTCGACGATAATTCCAACGGCATCTCGAACAGAATTTTCAGGAGAATTTCAATGGAAATCGCAGAGGAATTTAGTGGAGAAGAACTTCATGAGAATTCTGCGAGAAGAAGAAGTGTTAGTTTGTTTACTAAAATGAACTATGCCCATTTTGTTATGGCAAGTTTTGCTATAAAAAATTCTCCTCGTGTTTATTACCGAAATTCACATCAAAGGTTGATTAATTGCGTAGGAAATCTGTTTGGCACAGCATTTGTGACCAGCATACATCTTCCGGTCGTATGAAGCAGGTCAAAAACTGTCCAAATCCACCCATATTTTTTTTTTGTTTTGAATTTCTGTATGGCAAAATAGTGAACATTAACGGCAAAGAACTCACCAACACTGGGAGACCGTGAGCTCCTGCCCGACTGTGATATTTTCCGCCTAGGGACCACACAATGGTTGCTGCCGAGTAAATAGACGATCGTGTGACACACATCAAAAGTGGCCTGCTTCGGTCGACAGCCATCAACACTCATCAACTGGAGTAATTGAAAAGAGTTTCAGGATAACAGCAAATGTTGATTTCAATTTGACCTCCAGCTTTGGTCGGGTTCATCACATTACATCAGAATTCAAAAACAAGATAAGTTACAGCCATATCGAGTGTCAAGGGTCACATTGGTCACATCCGGCCATGTTCCGGGTACCCTGAAGAAAGTGGTCACTTCTTGGCTAGGACAAAAACCCAACATGTGACACATACAATTACAGCAGAATTCAAAAATTAAATCCTGGTCGAAAAAGGGCATATCAAGTGTCCTAGACTACATTATTGGTCACATCCGGAAACACCGTAAGCAAACACACAGAACTGTAAAACAAACTCATTGCTGGTCACATTACGTACCCAAGACTACATTGGCCATCACCTGGACATGGCCCGGATACCACATGGTATGTGACTCAGAATTTGATTTAGTAAAATCAAATCTCACCATCTCACCATTTTATACGACATGAGTACGCTATTTTAAAGCATAAGCAATTATTATGAAAGCTGGTCTGCAATGGGAAACATAAGTTTTATCAGCGAAGAATAACGCTCGAGCATAACAAATACGACTCATCAGTTTAACTAGTCACAACCAGCACCGCCCGCCACAAGCTGCAAAGTAGCCATCAAACATAAATCACAACGGTGGCAATTAGCTCAGAAGCACCTGCAAAGACGCAATTCACAGCGCACCGAATGCCAACGCTCTACTGAAGCAGTTAATCAAATTACTGCACTAAGCACAACGCTCATTGTCACCATTCTTACTTTTTATGAAATCCATCGCCTTATATTCATTTCACTTCCAACTGTCACACCGTTTTTGCACGTTTGCACGATACTAATTAATCCACACTTTCGTAGGAAAGAATCACTTATTCCCTCACCACGACACAACTGGTGCACTTTCCTGCACCCTAGACATTGCAATTTTCCAACTCCCCAAGGTCGTCGTCATATTTACTTGAACGTCTTACTCCTGCGGAACTGCCCGCTTTCGTTCGTTCGGTTGGGTTTCCACTAATCACATTAAGACAACGGTTGCCTTTTGCCTTCCAGGACCGTCCCCACGTGCCACCATCCTCGGGTTATTGCTTGTAAAGTAGAAGAAAATTGCCACGTTTTACCCGCGGGATTTTCCGCCACTAACCGCCTTCAGAGGAATTCATTTGTTTGCTCTGCACTCGGTGTAGGTAGATGAGGGTGGCAACATGAGAAGCAACAGAAGACAAACCGGAGTCGGGGGGAAACTGTTATTCTTTCATTATCTTCCCCGGAGCAGTTGGTGACGACGACACTTTGTGTCACTTTTTTCTTCCTTCTCCCGTGTGGAACTATCTTCTTTTCATTTCAACGTGGGGAATTCGTTCTGTTGACTCTTGTGTGTCTCGTGATGAAAACTTGTTAAGTACTCATTAATCTTCTAGCAGCGCTCTCCGACGGGAGCAAATAGATACACGATGGCCAAGCACAACTGTACAATCCGATGGACGCGGGTGTTACTAATTGTCGTCGTTGTGTCCTTTTTCTTTTTTTTTTCCTCCACTGACCGGTTCCCAAATGAGACTGTAGCTGCAGTGTGTGTTCTTACACAGAAGGTGGCATGAACTAACATTACTGCTATTCGGACACTACGCAGTGACCAGGTGGGAAATTGCGATGCAATTGTGGAGACACCGTTCGGTCTAGAATGTGGACAGAACAAACAAAAAATCAAAAGCAGACTCATTTACGTTGTAGGGTGAAAAAGCTAAGTTTTACAGTTAGCGGGAAGCTATCGAGGTTTACCACGAGGTTTACCGAGCGTCTTGTGAAAAGCAACTGCTTCAATGGAGACGCATGGTTTTTGATCTAGTATGAAAAAGAACAATCATACATGCCAAATCTCGTATGGTTTGAACTTTTATAGATTCGATTGGAGTTTCAAGCAACGTAATCTTTAAAATTTTATTTGTTCTTTGACTATTACGTACCAATTGAAATTGTACGCTTACTCTCAACATGAGTCATAGCATGATATAGAGAAAACTAAGGAAATGTCTCATAGCATATCATAGCATAGCTAGCATAAATCAGGTTACACAACGTCGTAGGTGTTGCGAGCTCCAAACTGTTGTTAAAGAGAAGACCCACCTTCATCCGTTGCTGTTTGATAGTAATTTGTGGTTAACCACTACCTCTTAGATACAGGATAAGTCTCCCTCCAACAGACTAGAGCTGTCCTGGCCACGCCCTTTCATCTGGTGGGGATAGGAGAGGAGAGAAAAATTCCTGATATTTCTTCTCCCGTAGGCACAAAACCTTCACGTCTTTTCAGATTGTCAATAATAACACATTCAAACATTTTAAAATACAATAATAAATCAGATAGTAAACTCAATAGAAAAATAAATTCAACTAGAAAAATCTGGAAAAATATATTAAATTTAGAAAAAAATACGAGTGACAATCCACTTTCATATACCATGTGCTGCATTGTCCCTTGTCCATCCTGGCTTCTTGCGGTATGAAAGAGAAAGAAAACTAAGGAAATGCCTCATATTTTTGAAATAGCCAGGCTGAATGGGTATCAATATATAATAGACTGATGCAAAATTTGAAATTTTCGCTCCACATAGGTCAAACGGTTTCAAATCGGGTCCTGATTAGCCTCCGAAAGTTTAAACTCATTTGATAAATTTTTATCAGCTACAACTTTGCAGAAAATCATTTTTCAGCCAAACGTCAAATTAAATAGTTATTAATTGTTTAAGAGATTGATAATCTTATGGCTAGATTAAGCAACTGTATTGGGGGCAACACTGTATTCTGCAGTATGACATAGTAGCCATAAACACCAATGTTGCCTGCTGAACAGTTGATTGAGCATAATCATAAGACATCAGTGACTTGAATCATTGATTTTTTTTTTCCTTACATTTGATCGAAAAGAAGTCTTCAACAAAGTTGTAGCTGAGAAAATTCAGCTATCATTTTCTAAAGTAGAGTGAACTGATAAATTTTGAGATAGATACAAACCGAAATTATGGTTTCTTCATAGTACTTCCCATATAAACTTCAAATGGGTTGTGTCAAGTCAATATGGCGGCTTCCGGTGGGAGAAAAACTGGGAATTACTGCCAAATTACCCACAGTATCAGTATTTTTAGAATTGGGGTGACTTGTAGGGTCCGGAAATAGATGTCTGAGGCCATTTTGAATTCGGTATGGCGGCTTCCGGTGCGAGAAAAATGTGAAATTACTGCCAAATTACCCACAGTATGAGTATTTTTGGAATCATGGTAACGTGTAGGGCTCGGAAACCGATGTCTGAGGCCATTTTGAAAATCAAGATGGCGGCTTCCGGTTCGAGAAAAACTTGAAAATTCTGTCAAATACCCCACAGAACTGGTATTTTTGGAGTCGGGGTGACGTGTAGGAACAGGAAATCGATATCTGAGGCCATATTTAAATTCAAGATGGAGGCTTCCGGTTGGAGAAAAACTTGGATTTTTTGTCAAATACCCCTCAGCATGGGTATTTTTAGAATTGGGGTGAGTGCAGGGGCCGGAAATCGATGCCTGACGCCATTTTGAATTCAATATGGCAGCTTCAGGTGCAAGAAAAATGGGGAATTACTGCCAAATTACCCACAGTATGAGTATTTTTGGAATCTTGGCGATGTGTAGGGTCCGGAAATCGATGTCTGAGGCCATTTTGAAATTCAATATTGCGGCTTCCGGTTAGAGAAAAACTTGGAAATTCTGTCAAATACCCCACAGAACTGGTATTTTTGGAGTCGGGGTGACGTGTAGGAACAGGAAATCGATATCTGAGGCCATATTTAAATTCAAGATGGAGGCTTCCGGTTGGAGAAAAACTTGGATTTTTTGTCAAATACCCCTCAGCATGGGTATTTTTAGAATTGAAGTGACGTGTAGGGACCGGAAATCGATGTCTGACGCCATTTTGAATCCAATATGGCGGCTTCCGGCTGGAGAAAAGCTGGTAATTCCTGCTAAATTACCCATAGTCGAGTATTTTTGGAATCTTGGTGACGTGTAGGGTCTAGAAATCGATATCTGAGGCCATTTTGAAATTTAAGCTGGTGGCTTCCGGTTAGAGAAAAACTTGGAAATTCTGTCAAATACCTCACAATATTTGGGGGGGCGACTCTAGCTACGATGTAGGAAAAATTGTATTTTGCTGTGGTTAGCTGCGCGCACCCTGAGTAGATAGAAAAAGATTGATGACGATTCTGAAGATTTCTTGCAAAAAGATGATGCGCGATGCAAGTAAATGCGAGCAATGAAAGAAATTTTTTCGAAGATTGATTCGCTAGTGTGAGATATGTTGAGCATCTAGAATTGAAATTTAGATGTGTCGCCCCCTCGACAATATGGGTATTTTTGGAATCAGTATGATGTGTAGGGTTCGGAAATCCATATCTGACGCCTTTTTAAAATCCAAATGGTGGTTTCCAATTAGAGAAAAATATAAAAATACTGTAAAATATTCCTCAATTTGGGTATTTTTGAAATCGTGTTGATATGTAGATACCGGAAATTCATGTCTGACGCGATGTTGAAATCCAAGATGGTGGTTTTCGGTAGAAGAAAAATTTGGAAACACTGTCAAATTGACCATAATATGAGTGTTTTTGGAATTAGGGTGACATGTAGGGTCCGGAAATCCATGTCTGATGCTATTTTGAAATTCAATATGGTGGCTTCCGGTTACAGAAAAACAGAAAAATACAGGCAGATTTTCCGTCCATACATGTCACTCCGATTCCAAAAATACCCATATTGGACAGAATTTCCAAGTTTTTCGCTAACGAAAAGCCACCATATTGAATTCAAAATGTCGTCAGCCATGCATTTCCGGTCCCGACACATCACCACGATTGCAAAAATACCCATATTGAGGGGTATTTCATAGTATTTTTCAATTTTTCTGTAACTGGAAGCCACCATCTTGAATTTAAAAAAAAAAGACATTAGTTTCCGGTCCCTACACGTCACCTAGATTCCTAAAATACTCATAAGGTTGTATTAGACATAACATCCCAGTTTTTATTTAATCGGAAGCCGTCATCTTGAATATCAAAATGGCACCAGGCATGGATTTCTGGTCGTCACCCGATTCCAAAAATACCCCTAGGTAAGGGGTATTTGACCGAATTTCCAATTTTTTCTATAACCGGAAGCCGCCATCTTGATCTTTAAGAAGGGCCTCAGACATCGATTTCCGGTCCTTACACGTCACTTCGACTCTAAAAATATAAATATTCTGAGGTATTTGAGAGAATTTGAAAGTTTTTCTCTAACCGGAAGCCACCATATTGAATGGCTTCAGACATCGATTTCCGGTCCCTACACGTCACCCCAATTCTAAAAATACCCATATTGAGGGTAATTTTGCAGTATTTTCTTTAACCGGAAGCTGGCATATTGAATTCAAAATGGTGTGAGACATGGGTTTCCAGTCCTTAACCTTCACCATGATTCAAAAATACCCATATTGAGAGGTATTTGACATAATTTTCAAGTTTTTCTCCAACTGGAAGCCGCCATATTGAATTAAAAAAAGGCGTTAGACATCGATTTCTGGTCCCTACACGTCATAAATACTCGAAAAATACTCATATTGAGAGGTATTTCACAGAAGCCACCATATTGAATTTATAAATGGCCTCAGACATCGATTTTGGGTCCTTACACGTCACTTCGATTAAAAAAATACCCATAGTGTGGGTAATTTGGCAGTATTTCCAAGTTTTTCTCTAACCGGAAGCCACCATCTTAAATTTCAAAACGACCTCAGACTTCGATGTCCGGTCCCTCCGAAAATACCAATATTGTGGGGTGTTTGACAGAATTTCCAAGCTTTTTTCCCAACCAAAAGCCGCCACCTTGAATGTCAAAATGCCGTCAGACATCGATATCCGGTACAACACGTCACCAAGATTCCAAAAATAACAAAATTATGGGTAATTTGGCAGTATTGTCCAGTTTTTCATCAACCGGAAGCCGCCATTTTAAGTTTCAGAAGGACGTCAGACATGGATTTCCGATCCCTACACGTCACCAAGATTCCATAAATACCCATGTTGTTGGTAATTTGGCAGTACTTCTCAGAATTTCTCTAACCAGAAGCCGCCATATTGATATAAAAATAACGTCAGGAATTGTTTACCGGTCCTTTCACGTCACCCAGATACTCAAAAATACCCATATTGTGGGATATTCGACAAAATTTTCAAAAAAACTTTTTTATGATTTAAATCCCAATTGTTTGTTTACGTCTGTTTCGATTTACGAACCGCCGGTGTGG